TCTCACACCAGTCAGAATGGCCATCATCAAAAAATCTAGAAACAATAAATGCTGGAGAGGGTGTGGAGAAAAGGGAACCCTCTTGCACTGCTGGTGGGAATGTGAATTGGTTCAGCCACTATGGAGAACAGTATGGAGGTTCCTTAAAAAACTACAAATAGAACTACCATATGACCCAGCAATCCCACTACTGGGCATATACCCTGAGGAAACCAAAATTCAAAAAGAGTCATGTACCAAAATGTTCATTGCAGCTCTATTTACAATAGCCCGGAGATGGAAACAACCTAAGTGCCCATCATCGGATGAATGGATAAAGAAGATGTGGCACATATATACAATGGAATATTACTCAGCCATAAAAAGAAACGAAATTGAGCTATTTGTAATGAGGTGGATAGACCTAGAGTCTGTCATACAGAGTGAAGTAAGTCAGAAAGAAAAAGACAAATACCGTATGCTAACACATATATATGGAATTTAAGAAAAAAATGTCATGAAGAACCTAGGGGTAAAGCAGGAATAAAGACGCAGACCTCTTAGAGAACGGACTTGAGGTTATGGGGAGGGGGAAGGGTGAGCTGTGACAGGGCGAGAGAGAGTCATGGGCATATACACACTAACAAACGCAGTAAGGTAGATAGCTAGTGGGAAGTAGCCGCATGGCACAGGGATATTGGCTCGGTGCTTTGTGACAGCCTGGAGGGGTGGGATGGGGAGGGTGGGAGGGAGGGAGACGCAACAGGGAAGACATATGGGAACATATGTTTATGTATGACTGATTCACTTTGTTATAAAGCAGAAACTAACACACCATTGTAAAGCAATTATACCCCAATAAAGATGTTAAAAAAAAAAAAATGAGAATGGCACTCTCTGGTATACTTACCTTTCTGTCTTGGCTTCTCAAAAGCTTCAAGGAAAATATAATGTTTAATTGCAGTGAGTTACATGCCAGGGATCTCTATTTAGCTTCTTGTAATTGGTTTTGGATCTGTCTTTTAAATTTTTGATCATCGTTTTTATATGCATCTAAATATTATAAACCACCTCGGAGCTTTTGATTTTTTAGGTAGAAAGAAGAGAAATAATAAAATAGTGAAGAATTGGCTACTAGGACTTAAGGGACTGGTAAGGAGAGAATAAGTCATATATTCTCTAAAGAAAAAGCAAGGAGTATTAACCCCCTCCCCCAAACCTTAGAATAGTTAACTTGTTTAAAGCTCAGTTTGCCCATCTGACAAACTAAGTACCACTTGCTCTCTAAGTACCACTTTCTCTCTCTCATCCTGTAAGGACATTTAGTGGCTTAATGAATGGATTTCTGTAAGGCAGTTTAAGACAGTAAGTAAGATGCTGCAAATTGTAAAACAGCCTGGTAAATGGCCACTCACCCAAAACAAATAACAATTTATGCCAGGCATAAAAAATGCTGATTCCACTTGCTTTATTACCTGTGTACTTCTTGGTAGATGAACGACTTGTAAACCAACTTTTGTGGGACAATAAATTAGGGTTCTTTTTGCAATGGTATTGTAAATACAAATGTTTCTATTACTTGCTCTGGTGGCCAACAGAGGGACAAGTTTGTCTGAGAAAACTTAGAACAAGATTCTGCACACAATAATTACTCATAAAATTCTTGATGAATGATCATTAATAACATTCTGACCCGTATTTACCCTTTAAAATATTAGAAATCTTTCCAAAAGACAAAAAAAATCTGAAAGGAAACAGGTCTTATCTTCCTAGTAGGTCACACCACATACCCAGGAAATACCTTCTGAGAATGAGAAAAGAGTGAAAGTCAAAAGAGAAGGGAAACTATATTTAAGAAACATAAGGAAGATCCCAGAGTGGTTCCTAGACCACCTGTATCACAATCACCTTGGAAACCTGTGAAAACTGGAGATTCTCCAGGGATGGAGCTAGAGACTCTGCATTTAACAAGCCTCCCAGGAGATTCTAATGCACATAAAAGGACAGAAATTGCAGGTTTAAGGGAACATTTAATGCTAGTTTTCAATGGAAAAATGCTGAGGCGTTTTTTTCAACTTTTTCCCTCCATTCCTTCAATAAACATGTACCAGCATTTGTTATAGACAAGGCACCATACCAGGTGCTGCAAAACCCCAGGACAATTTGGGTGGAAAAGGAAAGCACTACGCATGGTTTAGGAGCCAATGCTCATTTTTTTCCCTACACTGCTTCAGTACCATGTTCATTTCCTGTTTTATTTTCTTTGAGCTATAGCCACATGCACTGCTTGATATTGCTCAAAAAGCACTGCAGAAGCAGGTATCAGACAGCAGCACAGAAAACTGGCATGAGGAAAGAGTGTTGCAGCAGGGACAAAGTAGCACTGCTGGCTTTCCTTGCTGAGATGACAGCAAGGAAACAAACATAGCAGGAAGGAAATCTATCCAGAAAAAAATCCTAACTGTCTTGGCTTGTTAATCTGGACTCTGACATAAACCTTGGGTATACCTGCAGGTTACAGGTGACGTTCTGAAAAAAAAAACTACAGAAATATATTGCTAGATTACTCAGTGCAGAAGATTATGGGCGAATGTGCCATATATCTTCCGTTACCCTTCCAGATCTACTCTTCACCCTTCTCAACCTTGATTTGTGCTAGGAGAACCCCCTTGCCCTCTGGCTTTCCTTTGGTTTACCCTAGGTAGACAGATGAGAGAATAAAAGAAGTCTGAGTGTAAGACAGTTAACAACTGCTGGAGAATGCTAAAAAGAAGGGTCCAAGAAGCATCCTTGGATGGGTAGAAAGTGAATAGAGGAAGAAAAAATGGATAGGAAAATAAGTTCTCAAGGTTGGCCTGAAATTGGATTGGCATTTAAAGAAACAAGGACTTGATAATAAAGTTAAAACTGATAATCAGATTCAGAATGTCCTGGTCAGGAGCTTTTTCCATGCATGTAAATGGATCCTCAAGAAACCACATACAGCGAAACGCCTTTCAAACATCACTGTGAGCTATTTGAACATGGTTTGTGTGGTTTTATCACCTAGTCACTACTCTCTTAACATTTTCCACATATTTTACATTTAAAATAGTCCCCCCAAAAAGCATAGCACACAAGATTCCCTGTGTCTTTCCAGGTATTGTGCTTTGTCTAAATTCAATTGATCCTATAAATTCCAAGGCCTTTGTGGTTTTCTAAAGCCCTCAGGGTTCCAAAAACAGAACCTGGCAAAAATGCATGTGTCCCTGAGCTTTCAGATGTTTCCTCTTAATCAAGGTTGTCCCTGGTAAAAAGCCACTATCTTTGATTTCAGGCAACATCAGGAGATTTTTCCACTGAGATCCTATTGAGTCCAGGTTGTGCCTTTTGTGTGTCTGTGTGTGCAGACAAAAACATATAAAGTAATTAATCAAAATCAGAAGTTCAAGTGAGTCCCAAAGCTGCTGTGGAAATGCATGTGTCCCGACAGCTAAATGTTCGAACATAAGTTTTCATCTCATCAGTTTGCCTTGTGCATTGGATATTCAGGTCTGACCTAAGACGGTGAGGGTCCCCAGGAGTCTTAGCTTTCTGCCATGCTATGAAAATCCGGCTTATGCTATTAGTTTAATCTGGTCGTAGAATCCCCGGGTACCCAGAGCTAGCCCAAGGGATCTATGAGGATAAGGTAAGTCACTGTTTTTACCAGAAGTTTAAAAAAGGAGCTATGAAATAACAGTTCTGAAGCAGAAAGAAAGCAAATTTCTGCTGTGGTTACTCTAATAAGTGCACAAAAAAGAGGGCTTTTTCCCTCCTAATAGATCAGTCGGATAATTTTGAATTCCTCCCCTTCTGCTTTTATTCTGTAGGCCAAGAAAATATTCAAAATGGATTCCTCCCAACCCCTCAAAAACTTCCAAACAATGCTATGACTGTTAATACTGGGCTATCCATTTTCAGATAATTAACGATCGACACTTAAGGTCACAAGCGATTCCAGACCAATACAGATAAACCTAGCATGTTTTCAGGGTTACTGCAGCATCGTGAATTAAATTAGATCTGAATTAAAGTTGTTTGTACAACAAACTAGTTTATTCCTCGAATCCTACACTTCTGGTGATGTAAATTTATGGAATTAGAGCCAGCAAATAATAGAATTTTCAGATCCTCTCTACTGCAGCTCTAACATACCCTGCTTGCTTCTCTATTTCATTTCTATTATTTTAACAATCACACACAGAGTTCAATTTTAGCTGCAGAATAACCACTGGACCATTCAAGAGGATATCTGCATCAAACAGTAATAAAGGCATCATCTGAATGGTCAGTACCAATTTTTCTGCACAAGTTCTCTCCTTAGAGGACTCCCTGAACCCCTTGTCTTGCCTGCCTTGGGCACCTCAGTGCCCACCGCACCAGATAGAAATCTTCCTTGGCAGTATTCAGCTCTGTATTCACATACATTGTGGCTCCATGGATAACTGAGTTATGACCAACCATTCACACAAATCTCAACTTTGAACGCTTCATTTGAAATACTTCTATTTCAAGATTTATTGAATTAGGCAAATACCTTTTCTTTCCCTCTCTCATCTATAAAGTTTTTTAAAGATAAGGAATTAGTTTATCTGTCATTAAAATAGCCTTAAAATGATTTCAAAGTTGTCAAAATAACAGCCATGCTGAAATTCACTAGAAGTTCCACAGGAGAAAATTTTAATATTAGATTTCTTAATCATTACATAAAGCTGTATTTTAATATGACCCCAATTTTTTTTATTTTGTTAATTATTTCTGTATACAGTTATGTAAATAAACATGATAAAATGTCGACAGTGATTCTAGGTGGCGGAATTACCAGTGATTTTTACTTAGTTTTTTTTAATGCTTTTCTGAATTTTCCTAATTTTCTACAATAAACAGATAGGTATTTTCATTTCAAAATCTGAAAACGGCACCATTAAAAATACTTAATCTTTTTGCTTTTTATATTAAATCAAGCTTAGTTGTAGAAATAGGCAAGCAAACCAACATACCTTTTGATTAAATGGGCTCGGCTGTTCACGTAGTTGGAGTCAAAAGAATAGTTTTCAGTCTGCAGTGGGGGGAAAAAAAGATTAAAAAGGTTACAGAGATGACTCATGAAAAGAGCTAAACTCTCCTGCTTAGGAGGAATTTTTCTACTGGGCAAGAGGCAATGAATGAATCAGAAACCAAGGCCATAGTGGTGCAACAGCCTGACGAATGCCTGCCACCTCCTTGGGGCCCTGGGGGCTCTGTGGAGGCAGCTCTCCCAGGCAGATGAAGATGAACTTGACACAAACATCCCCTAGAATATGCCTGGCTACTGACCATGCAACCACTTAGGGAAGATACAGCATGACCCAAAATCTTTACAGAAACTAATTGCTTCCCATTCCCCAGTGGACACAATTCTGTGCCCATCAAATTGACTGGAAGTTCAAAGGTATTTTTATTAGTAGTAGATAATTAACATGTTAAAATATGTATTCCATAGATATGGAAATGCAAGCAAGGTAATCACTGTGGATTTAAACTGCACTTCCCTTTGTTTTAAGACATTTTGCTCAGCACTGGTTATACAGGAAGGCCTTCGTTTTATCACAGACATAAAGGCAAACAAGTATTATGCCTAAAACGGGATGAAGGGCAGTCCACAGGGGGTGCCAAAGCCTTTCATGTGAAACATGAAGTTTGCAAGCAAACCTATCATAGCACGTTCCTATCATTAAAACACCACTGTCTAATCTGGTTACAGCAGACTGCCTGAACAATGGTTTTACAAAAGCAAATGCAGAATACCTGCCAGATGAAAGAGATGGGCTAACAGCTGATGAGCATCCAGAGGTTGGGGGTGGATTGAAGGGGGGGCAGCCTTAGAAGGGGGAACACAGGGAAAAGTCAACACTGAAGTAACTGAAAGTCCAGTAAAGTGGATCTTACCTCTAACACTAAAGTACTACTCTCCTTGAACCATTGTATAAACTGAAAAATGTCCAAACACATCTCCTCCACTCTCCTGCCAGTCTACCAGAAATTCTCACCATTCTCACCATTCCTTAGGGCCTTCTGAAATCACTTCAACTGAAAGTGCCTGGGAAAGGAAACACAATAGCTGTCGAGCTAACAAAATAGTACATTCCTTTCCGATGACTACTGTCGCTAGGCTCTTAGATGCAGCTTTATGTTTCAAGGAGCTCAGAATTTGGTAGAGGGGAAAACAGGACAGGTGATAGCAGATCTAACTACCACATGAGCACCAAACAGCCAATAGTCAGGATAGGGACCCTAAGTATCTAGAGTAAGTGGGGATGGGGGTGGCGAGTAGGTGAGAGAAAGAAGGAAGAACGTATGGAGAAGAAAACTAAATCCCATCACTGCCCTGTACTGACTCAGGCATGCCCATGCCCTCCACATGCCCCTTATTTGAAGATGAGCTGTATAATATCCACCCACACTGCTTTTATCTAGAGGATAAAATCCCCTTTAATGAAAACCACAAGTAAGTTTTTGTGCTGTTGGAAGGAATGGATTGCGAGAGTGAAAATCAAAAGGGTTAGTTCATTTCTAATTTGTTCATAAGAAAATGGAGGCTGAAATTGTTGCAAACATAATTACAGAAGGAGGAAGCAAACTTGAAGGTGCATGGGGAATACAATGCTGGAAGAGGTTGTCCATCAGTCAGTCAACCAACAAACACTTCTTGAACTGATTTTTATACAAACATAAAATGCAAAAATGGTGTTGGGTAAATGTGCTTTTCTATGATATTCAGTACAATATATAATTTAATAAGTGGAAATCTCCTAACCGCCCCCCCAAAAGCATTCTATCCAAATAAAACAGGGAATTGATTAAGCACTCAGGAGTTTAATTATTAGTTTGTACAACCGGGACAAATTACTTAATTTCTATATGTCTCATTTTACTCCTCTATAAAATAGGCATAATGGAACACAAATCCAAAGGGGAATTTCAAGTGCATTTATCATGACTCATTGTGGGAATGATGGAAACCCTTATCCTCTGCTTTCTACAGAACCTGGATCCCTGAGTAGGAGCAGGGATTTGACCACATTCGGGCAATAAAAGAGTAACGTGCATACATTCCATCTCAGCCTCCAAACTTCCTAAATCATTTTTTCAAGAAAGTTAATAGATAGAGAAACAGATGTAAAAGAAAAGAGGATACTGGCTTTGCAGGGAAAGCATGAGCAACATCCCAAGATATTGTCATGTTAAAGAAGCCAGTTTTCAAGTAGAATATTTTACATAGACTTGCATATGAGGGTGTCCAATCTGTGTGCACTGTGCATCAAATATGGAGCCCTGTGGAGATGTGACCTCCAGGCACGGTGCCAGAACTCTGGGCAAATAAGCAAAACCATACAAATTTATCCCTGGTGACTGTACTACTTCTTGGTCTTAATGGAATAATATATCTCACCTTGAGGATTCCCACTCACAGGCACTGAGTTAAAAGAGGACACAGGTCTAAAAGGCTTGCTTATGGAAACCTTAACAATTCTCTTTCCCTTGCTGTGATATACAGATGGGTTAACCTGGGCAGAAAAGCCAGCCATGATCTGCCACTGTAGGTAGGAGAGTATCATTGAAGCTTATCACCTTCCTATCTTTCTCCTTTTTCTTAGTCTAAAAGAGTAAACCCCCCTCCCATTCTCGTGGGTCCTGGCCTTCAAATGTAAATACTCCATTCCCCAAACCAGCACCAACCATAATGGACAGATGGCCCATGCTGCATCCTCATGCAATTAGAAGTACTGTTCATGAGGCAGGTTACTAGAACTGATTTTCCCATAATGGATGGTACTATACTGAGTCATCCATTGTCTTTTGCCTCTTTAATCAGTATCAGGTTTCCTTGTGAGGCAGCTTGGTTAGCGTTATGGAAACAACGTATGCAACAGAATTATTCTAATTGGGTAGGATACACTATTCTGGCCTCATTAGAACTATAATCCAAACAACTGAGCTAACTGGCCATAGATGGCCTTTTATGGGTCAGGGTATACTAACATCAAGTGTTCTTGCTCATACCGATTCAAGGCGTGTGCTCAAACCCAACTGTGCACTGAAAGAGTAAATTTTTTTCACACTTCAGGTAGAGCAGACAATGAGACTCAGACCACCCTGAAGAAGGAAATAATCTTTTCTTAATGAATAGTTTGCATGCCTTAAGCCAGTGATTCTCAGCCCTAACTGCACATTAGAATCAACTAGGGAATTTTTTTTTAATACTGTTGTGAAGGTCCCACTCCAAGAGATTCTGAGGTAATTGGCATGGAATGGGGCCCAGGCATTAGTATTTTTTTTAAAAGCTTCCCAGGTAATTCTAACAGACATCCAGAGTGGAGAACTCTCCTGAGCAAAAGATGGGCCACAGGCTTTGACTTGATGTGCTGTGTTTTCTAAGGCAAGCTCAGCTGTTTAGAAGATGGATCTCTTTTGTCAGATTATCTGCCAAGGTGATCTCAATAGAAGATAAAGAATGACAACAGAAATACACTTTTTAAGAAATAATAGAAGAGCTTTTCTTTTTTGCATGAATGTATTGGCTCCTGGTTAGCCTTATTTAATCAAAATTTGCTTGACATTATTCCAATCCCCTCTCTAAGTATTCTAAATGGCAAATAACATAAAACATTTGAGAGGGGAAATTTTCTCTAAATGTCACATTAATTTCACTAGGAAATGTCCCCATCTCTAATGAGACAGCCAAGTTAACACAGGAACACAACAAAGAGACAAGAATATTTGTTTCTGAAAAACCTAAATCTTGACATTAGAAAAAAAAATGGGTCTAGAGCAAACTTTTATTTTCTGTCTCAGTGGTAAATAAGAGTCACTTTCCTATCATTTAATATATTTCTCCCAAATCCCTTCTCTAATTAGAATTCCTTATCCTAGGATTCACTGAGAGCAGACTTCTCATTTTGTTTAGGTTTAATAAAATATTGATTTTCTGAAAACCTAAAGAATAAATACTTCTGGATAGCAGAGGGGTTTTTTTTGTTTTTGTTTGTTTGTTTGTTTGTTTGTTTTTGCAGTACGCGGGCCTCTCACTGTTGTGGCCTCTCCCGTTGCAGAGCACAGGCTCCAGACGCGCAGGCTCCGCGGCCATGGCTCACAGGCCTAGCTGCTCCGCTGCATGTGGGATCCTCCCGGACCTGGGCACGAACCCGTGTCCCCTGCATTGGCAGGCGGATTCTCAACCACTGCGCCACCAGGGAAGCCTGGGAAGCCCCTGGATAGCACAGTTTTTTAGATAGCTTAGTGCTTTCTCCTCTAAGGACTAAAACTTTGATTTAAAATCCTACCCATTCTGCCTTCTTTTTGAACGTTATCACACAGTTCCTTATTGGTTCCTTAGAAGAACCTTTCTAAACATAAATCACTGTACCGTGCAGGTTTTGCCTGTACACTCACTGACCCCAAAGCACTGTGTTTTTTGAGTTCTTACCTTTAATTTTTAACATATGTCTCCCACCAACTTGCTATAAAACACTCAGTATTGTTACTTCTCAGTACTATTAGTATATCAAAAGCAGCTCCTCTTCTGTTTCAAGTTTGATATTTCCACTCTGCTGTCTTGGAAACTATATAATTATTAGAACAGTCTAGAAAATGAGAGTTAAGTTCTGGGTAGAGAGCTGAGATGTTTTTCTGAGAGGGAAATGACGTGATCTTTACTATAGGGACTTCTGTGTAATGTTTTGGGTTTTGTTGTTGTTTGTTTTTTTACCTGCTCAGGAGCCTTCTTTGCTAACTACTTTCTACTCGCAGCTCCTTTCTGGATATGGGAGGTTTCTAGAGAGACTTTGGGGTGGGTAGTATGTTATTATGTTAATGAGTCTGGCACATCTGAAGTCAAATACTTCCACTTTGTCAGGCCCCCAAGGTACCAGAATGCCCTACTTTAACTGTCATTTTGCATTACTTTCACAGTTCACTAAGTTGTGCCCTAGTCTCTGGAAGAGTGACTGCGACTCTCTCAGCACCACATTTATCACCAGGAGAGACTTCAGCCCTAAGGAGAAACAAGCCCAATAAATG